ACGTCCTGCTGTCGGTTTCGATTTATGCTCCACCGCAGTGCTGTATCATCATGGGGAAACGATAGCTAATCACTGCTGAGCTAATTGTCAGTTTACATCGATTTTAACTCTCTCAAAGCTCAGTACAAGTTGTTCGGGGTTTATTTAATTTATGTCGATAAATAAGATTCTATACTGGTCATTGTGAAGCTAATAGATTTGTTTCTGTCTGTTGCGCTGGCTAACAGTTAGCTGCATTAGCTAGCTAACGTCAGTGAGTCCAGCAGAGGAAAGTCAGAAAGACCTAACGTTGCTGTCATGCTGCTTGTTTTATATATCACAACATGAATGTGTGTTGTGAAGTTTCCAGTTTTTTTGATAGTAAAGTCGCCCCATCTCACCTGAAATAAAGAGCGTTCCTGCTAATGTCTGAAAACTATTAATACAGCTTTATGGAGTGTAATAGATCTGATTAATCAAATATTTGATTAGCAAGTTAAATTAATCAACAACTATTTTGAAATAGCTTTTATAAGTTGGTGGTCAGTTCATCATTTCTGTGGTTTCTTCAGCAAACATGTTAAAGAGTTGCAGATTTCTGCTTCTCAAATGTGACAAGTTGCTGCTTTTTTTTCGTCACATCTGACAAATTCTCATGTTTTCAGTTGCTGGTCAGATAAAATGCAGTTTGGATACATCGATTGTGCTGTTGGAAACGAATAATTTGTTTTCAGTTTTCTGACATTTTACAGACAAAACAGTTGACCGAGTTAAAAATCCAAAGGGCTTTCTTAGGATATGCAACATGGCGCCCACCGAGGTGAACGTGTTTGCACGTTCCACTCTCGAATGCCGGCCTTTTCCTTGTTTTCTACTTTTTTGTGTGTTTTTACTCTTTCTGCAGTGCACAAATGTCATGCACTGCTAACATACAACAGACAGGCATTGCTGGATATCGCCAACTCACACAGCCACTAGGAATTTACTGGTTTCATACCACCGGAGCTACAACTAATTGTCCGCTCCCGCAACAACAACAACTACTACTACAACCACCATCACCCTCAGGGAGCCCACGGAGCACCAGGCACAAGCGAGCAGGCTGAAATCAGGAGAGCGACCCGGAGACGCAGACAAGGGAGGCTCCATGCTAGGCTAAAAGCTCGCGCTACTTGTCCGCCAAACAAACTGGACGAGCTAAGGGCTAGGATTACTGCACAACGGGAAATCAGAGAATGCTGTGCTCTAATTCTCACCGAGACTTGGCTTTCTGACAAAGTCCCAGAATTCCGCCATTCAGCTACAAACACATTCTGTACATCGAGGAGATCGCACTGCTGCTTCGGGGAAGGTAAAGGGAGGTGGTGTGTGTGTGTGTTTATCGGTAACTCGTGGCGTGGAGATGTACGGACTGTTTATAAGCACTGTTCGCCGGACGTAGAGTTTTTATTGCTGAAATGCTGGCCCTATTATCTAGCAAGAGAGCATAGTGCTGTGTATGTTAGCCCAAGAGCTAATCCCTTTACGGCTCTCACCAAACTCTATGATGTCATCAGCGCTAGAGACAGCTCACCTCGATGCTGTTATTATCGCTGCAGGCGACTTTAACCACTGCAATCAACCGAATGACTGCAGGCCAGTAGCACTCACCCCAATCATTATGACATGTTTTGAGAGAGTGGTGCTGGCCTGCATTCAGAGCAGTATACCGGGCCCCCTGACCCCCTGCAGTATGCCTACCGGCCCAACAGGGCCACCTCAGACGCCATCGCAGCTGCACTCCACTATTCCTTTTCTTACACTGGGTCTGCACCCCACCCTCTGTGACTGGCTCCTGGACTTTCTGACTGGCAGGCCCCAGACTGTCAGGATTGGCAATAGGATTTCAGCCAGCATTGTTACAAACACTGGCACCCCACAGGGATGTGTCCTCAGTCCCATCCTCTACACCCTGTTCACCCACGACT